TAATTTTCACATGCTTATGTGGAAAAAAAACACCATATCCAATTGATGACATGGAATCAATTTCATTACACTTCACATTCCCACCTTTCCTCAGATCCCAAATCCAGACACTTTTCTTTCTGTCGCCGGTACGCAAGAATTTCTTGTTGCTTCCAGGATCATGAATTTAAACTTCAATCTTAATTCGAGAAATCACGATTTTAATATGAATTTTTTCTTTTGGGTTGCAGGAGTGTCGGCATGGCTAAGAGCTCCTTCAAGCTGGAATATCCCCTTGGTTCAAGTCTCTCCCTTTTTCTTTTCCTTTTTATGTTAAGAATTAATGTTCTCATGGCTGTTTCGTTTGTGGGATTTTGTTGATTCTGTAAAACCTTAACTTTCTTGATGTGGGTTTGTTGATTTAGGGCTATAGCTTGGAAATTTTGCCACAAAGTTTCTTTTTTTTTTTTTGTTCTTTTGTATATTTCAGTTGTGATGAATGCTTTTTGGTATGATCTGATGTAAATTAATTAAGTAATTGTACTCGATATTTTCAGTTTGAGGGAGGGGAAAAGTTTGAATTTTTATCATTTATTTTCATTTTTAAGGTTTGGAATTATAGGATGGTTCACTCTACCTGAACCCGGGATTTGGTCGAATCCAATGCTCAAAACTTCTGGAGAAAACTGACATTTTTCTATTTCTTGATTTTTTTTTTAAACCCATTCAGAGATAGATGCGAAATGGGTTTTCTTGTATGGAATCACCGTTTTAATGTAATTTGGCTGGTTTTTGATTTTTGTGTATTGGTTTCCTCATTGCCAGTAAAATACAATGATTTTTCTCTGCTGAATGCAGATATCGATATATATTTGAAAAATATAATTTTCATTGAAAGATTATAAATTATTGTGCTATTCTTGCAAATGGTTTTCCTTTTATATGTAATAAAATTTGTATTCTTTCATGCACTAGAAAGGAGGCAGGCAGAAGCAGCCCGCATCAGAGAGAAGTATCCTGATAGAATACCAGTATGAAATGTTCATCGCTATTTATGTACATATTTTTCTGTGGTCTTTTTCCCTATTTCAAATGTCATGATATTAATTTTTGGTGTAGGTAATTGTTGAGAGGGCTGAGAAGAGTGATGTGCCTGACATTGATAAGAAAAAGTCAGTTTTGTAC